CAATTAGTGTTAGGATCAAGTTGGCACTAAAAGGGGGAGTGAATTAGGGCTTTCGATAAAATGACGTTAATTGAAATATTCATTCGAAAAAGCTTGTATTCGAAAATACGTTTAAACTTGAAAGTGTTTGTAAGTGATTGAGGGCAGTGAGCAAGTAATCAGTGAGTGATGAGAATGAAAAGCATGAAATAAATGACATAGAAAGAAAGCACACCAAATTTATAGTGCTTTGATCATCGTGACCTACATCCACTTCTAATTCCTCCTCTGTTGAGGCCACCAACATCCACTAACGGTCTTTCTTCAATAGGCGAAGACTAACTACCCTCTTACAACTTTTTCTCCTTTTTATAGGTTTAGGAGATAACCTTTTATAAGCTACACACCTCTCTTAGATTGATCACAAAGCTAATGAAGGAGGAGGACACTTAGCACTTTTTCAACACTTTTATAACCAAAATCTCAAACTTTTGTTTACACCTTTCGTGCTCTTTTATGCAGGAAAGAGTGGGGTATTTATAAGCCCCAATGACTTCAAAAATAGAGCCAAAAAGTGTATCATCCTGGATTTCTGAGGTACTAGCGATACTATCGCCAGTACTGGGCGGTACCAACACTTGGCAGCAATAACTGCCGACGGTATCATCACCCAGTCTGAGCAGTACCACCGCCTAGACCACTTGGGTGGCTAAGCTTGAGGCGGCACCGCCTGACATGGCTCCAAGTGGTTGAATGGGCCATCCAACTAACCCAATTCAACCCTATTAAGGGCCCAGTTGACCCCTAATTGAGTTAGTAGGATTTCTCCCATAACTAATTCAAATTAAAGTCCTAACTACAATAATTAAGGCTAAAATAATTATAATATAAGTAATCTAGATCGTTTGGCATATCAATTGTTCAATCGAACTCTCGGTAAACTTCTGGCGAACTCCTAGTGATTTTCCAATGAGCTTTCGACGAACTCCCGGTGAACTTTCGGCAAGCTTTCGGCGAACTCCCGGTGAGCTTTCACTGCATCGTCCAATCCTTTGGTGTATCCCCCGATTTATCCAGCCAAACTTCAATTCTTCTTTAATCGTTTTACCTTTCTCATGATCATAGTTAGTCCCACATCACTTATCTCAACATATGGATTAGGTCATTAATTCACCAATTTATTTTATCATTAAAATCTAAGATTTAATAATCTTCCCTTTTTGATGATGACAACTAATTGATGACGGAGTTAACCTTAACTCCCTCTATCTATATTTCATATTGAGATAAGGCAAACTTAAATTCAAAAAGAATCATAACTTTTGAATTCAAGTGAAACAATTTTGATCGTAGTGATCAAAAGTAATATATCAAAATTTTATACATTGTGCATCATCATAGTTTCAAGTCATCAAAGTATAACATACAAAATTTCATCACTTTATAACAAATTAGCATTACTTTAGGCATAACCTACATGATACTAAAGCATTCATCACTTCATGCATGATACCAAAATTAACATCATTTTGGGCATAATATTCATGATACCAAGGTATTCATATTTTCAATCATTTTGGGCATAACATACATGATATCAAAGGCATTCATATACCAAAAGTAACATCATTTTGGGAATAACATTCATGATTCTAAATCATTTTTTAACAATTTATCACTTCATTTATGATACCAAATACAACATTATGGCATGATACCAAATACAACATTATGATTCCAAATATTCATCATTTCTCCCCCTTTGTCATCAATAAAAAGGAGACTCATTCAACAATTTATGCAAGTAGTTTAAACTATGTAAGTAAATTTTACGCCCATTTATGCAAGCTAGCAAATTTGTAAAATGAGAAATTAAGCAAAAACATTGCAAGATAACTACTTTTGCTTCTTGAGATGTACAAGCATTTTTTGGTTCTTCTTGAGATGTGCAAGTTTTTTTCTTCCTTTTATCATAAAAATAAAAAGAAGAGGAAGAAGAAGAAGGGAGAAATTCATTCACCATAAGAAAAATCAAATTATAAGAACCAAATCCATGAAAGGAATTGAACCAAATCAAATCCATGAAAAAATAAGTTTCATTGAATCAAGCTTCTACATTCGCAAAGAGAAAGGATTCATCATAAAAGATCAAAATGTGCATACTAGATATTTATGAATCAAATCTCTATTCTTGTAAATAGAAGGAAGAAGGATTCATAAAAGATCAAGTTTGCCAAAAAAAATGCATGAATCAAATCTCTTCTTTGGTGAATTGCAAGAAGAAGGAACGAAAGAAGCGATCTTGATTTAAAAAGAAAACTTAAATTATGAAAAATCGATAAATATAAAAAATGTATAGAGGAATTTATGTATTTAAAAGATTTAACATGCTTAATTCTCTTCTAGTAAAATCAAATTGTTCCTCATTTAAAGGTTTTGTAAAAATATCAGCTAATTGACGTTTTGTATCAATAAATTCTAAAGATATATCATGGTTATTAACATGATCTCTAATAAAATGATGTCTAATATCAATATGTTTAGTTCTAGAGTATTGAATGAGATTTTTTTGTTAAACATATTGCACTAGTATTGCCATATTTTATAGATATATTTTTTATTTTAGATTATTTAACTCTATTCATGCCTTCATGGGTTACTTCTAGTGTATGTTAAATCTCATATGTAGTTTCGCATAAAGAAATACGATTAAACTCATTTTTGTTCAAAGCACAAAATAGAGCGTTCATAGCTCTAGTATTCAAAGAAAAAGTTTTCTTCTCCAAATCATTCTATTCGTTCATTAGATTAGAAGACTTGTGAAAATCATTTTCAACAATATTTCATAAATTAAAATCTAAAGAAATTAAGAAAACTCTCATTCGAGTTTTTCAACATGTGTAATCCTTCCCATTAAACATAGGAGGACGAATGATAGAACAGCCCTCTTGATTACTGGTAAAAGCCATTTCTCTTGGGTGTTAAACCAAATGAGAAAAATGTGACTCTAATAGCAACTGTTAGGACTAAATCATAACTAAGAGGGGGGTGTGAATTAGTGCTTTCATAAAAGTTACATCGATTCAAAATTCTCATTCGATAAAAGCTCGTATTAGAAATGTGCTTGACTTGAAAGTGTGTTCATAAGCGTAGTGAAAGTAATAAGCAAGTAAATCAGTTTGTAATATAAATGAAAAGCATAAAAAAAATGCAAATCGAGTTTTATAGTGGTTCGGTCGTCGTGACCTACATCCACTTCCAATTCTTCTTCACTCGAGGCCACCGGTTTCCACTATCGATATTCTTTTAACAAGAAAAGATCAACTACCTTTACAACTCTTTTTCTCATTTTCATAGGCTTAGGAGAAAACCTTTACACCTATCTTTCTTTTAGACCTCACTCCTCCCTTAGAAACCTTCTAACTCTAGGAGGAAGAGACTCACTAAACTTAGAGATATTACAACACTTTTTTAACTTAGAATTCTTTCCCCTTTCTACTCAATTCTTGCATCTCCATGCAGGAATAGCTAGGGTATTTATATACCCCAAATAACTTCAAAAATGGAGCTAAAAAAAGTATCATCCCAGGTTTCTCGAGTCCTGGTAGTACCACCACCTGTGCTGGGCAGTACTACCACCTACAACACTAACACTAGGCCATACCACTGCATAGTCTGATGGTACCACCGCTTAATATAGTCTGAGAGACTGTGTCTAGGCGGTACCATCGCTTGACAAAGTCTTGAAGACTATGTATGGGCAGTGCCACCGCTTACTCTAGGTGGTACCACCGCCTACTCTGGGTAGTATCACCGCCAAACCTTGCTATAAGACATTGAATGGGCCAAACAACAAGCTCAATTTAGCCTTGATTCAAGCCCAATTAGCCCCTAATTAAGTTGACATTGTTTCACCCAAATATCGACTCAATTAGACCTAAACTAACTTGATCTAGATAAATTATTACAAAGCATTAATCATATGTTGTCTGACATATCATTAGTTCATCCGGTGTTTCTTCCGACCCTTCGGTGCATCATCCTCTCATTCAGCATATTGCCCAATCGACATGTTGTCTTCTTATAGCATCCGATCTCTTTGGCATAATATTCAATCTTCTTGGCCCAATGCCCAAACTCATGACACAAAATCTTTTGCCGACACATCGACCGATCCTTCGGTTCAACATCCAATCTTCTGACATGTTTTACTTTAGCCCAACATTGATTCTTCCTGCTTTAATCAAATTCTTTTCATGATCGAAGCTAGTCCTAGGTTACTTAAAACTCCAATCGCTTGGAGTTTATATTAGATCACAAACTTATCAATTGATTTCATCATCAAAATCCAAGATTCAATAAATTATTCAATCGAACTCTCGGTGAACTTTCGATAAACTCCAAGCGATCTTCCGACGAGCTTCGGCGAACTCCCAGCAAACTTCCGATGAGCTTTCACTACATCGTCCAATCCTTCAGTGTATCTCCCGATTCATTTGGCCCGATGCCCGATCATTGACTCTTGCCCAACTTCGATTCTTTTTTAATTGTTTTACTTTTCTCACGATCGTAGTTAATCCTGTATCACTTATCTTATCACATGTATTAGATCATTAATACATCAATTGCTTTTATCATCAAAATTTGATATTCAATAATTAATTTTATTATATATTTTATCTAATTATAATGAACCACATATTCTAATAATCATGTTTTTAGTAACATTCAATCTCTATGTAAAAGACTAAATTATTTTTATTTAAAATATCCTTTTTGTTAAATTTCACGTGGAAATTACTAGGAAAGCTAATCATTTTGCCACAAGTGAGGTTTCTTTTATATATATATATATATATATATATATATATATATATATATATATGTTAACTTGTACAAGTTCCGAAAAAAAAAAGAAAGAAAAACTTATACAAGTTCATATGTTAATAGTCGAATGATATAATTTTCTTTTATTTAAAAAAAAAAAAAAAGTAATCTTGATTTGCTTTCCGCCTATTCGCAAGGCTACTTCACGTTGCAGGTGAGTCGATCGCGAGTTTGGAGAAAGGCAGAAGAGAGGAAGGGGGAGATGGGGAACGTCAAAGAGGCGCGCAGCCCCCTAATTCTCCACAACGCCTTCCTCGTCACCATGGACCCCGCCGCCCGCGTCTTCCGCGACGGCGCCCTCGTTGTCGTCGGCGACCGTATCCAGGCCCTCGGTCCCTCCGCCCAGATTCTCCGTGACTTCTCCCACCTCGCCGCTGCCGAGTCGATCGTCGACCTCGGCTCCCGATTCCTCCTCCCAGGTGTTCCAATGCTCCCATTCCTCTCGATCATGATAGGATAGCTCATCTTTCCTTTTCACGGATTCTCGTCTTTCTTGGTGGCCGGGGGGTGTTGTAGGGTTCGTCAACACGCATGTGCACTCGTCGCAGCAGCTGGCCAGGGGCATCGCCGACGACGTGGACCTGAAGACGTGGCTCCATGAGCGAATTTGGCCGTACGAATCTCGCATGACGGAGGAGGACTCCTACCTCTCGACGCTTCTCTGTGGGATCGAGCTCATCCATTCCGGAGTGGGTGACTGACATACCTTACTCTCCCTCCTTCAGTTTGTGTTGTAATTCAATCTCTTCTTCTGATTCGAGCGTCTTTGAAGGATCGCAAATGTTGGAAGGCCGCGATTTTACTTATTATTTTTAGGATTTGGAAATTCTTGGAATGATAATGTGTCTATGTTGATAAGTTACATTCTTGAGGCCATTTTTGTTTCTCTTCGTCGAACTTTCTGACCACGAATGTTCGGTAATCCCGAATCAAACTCACCTTTTTGGGATTCATATTTATGTTTCATGTTCTGAGGCATTGGATCTGTGGATTCGGCCTATGATTTGATTTTTCATGCAATGCTCTGATTAGGATTCGATAGTATTTTGCATAAGTCAATGCAGTAAGTTTCTACAATCAATAGTTGGGTTGATGCTAGTTGATTTGGTTTGTATTTCATGAAATTGGACTGTATTTATTTTTCTTCCTTTGAAGTATTGGGCGTTATTTTCTTGGGTGGTAAACCATAACACATCATAGAACTGTAACTTCTGTTGCATACTGGAGATGTGTGACTCAATTTTGTGGATTCATGAAACAGGTAACCTGCTTTGCTGAAGCAGGTGGGCAGCACGTTAGTGGAATGGCCAGGGCAGTAAAAGAATTGGGCCTGCGTGCATGTTTAACGCAATCCACTATGGACACAGGTGATGGATTGCCTGAAAACTGGAGTGCATCTTCTACTGATGATTGTATTCAGGTCATAGGCTGTACTTTTTCTTTGACTTTCTTCTGTGAACGCAGTTCGAAACTCTAGTTGGAAGATCAATCAGTTCATGTAATCTAGGCTAGCTTGGGCATAAAAGAGAACGAAAAGGTAAGACAATCAACATTGTGAACAATGAAAAGTGGCAATCAAGATTAATATTAAAAGAAACAAATGGCATATGATTAGCTAGATAACAAAGTTCAATTTGGCCATATGTATTTCTTTAATTCAGTTCTATCCAATTGTTCAGAAGTAAAATTGTACAATAGGTCTTTTGTTGAGACTCATTTAGTGCCAGTAAAATAAACACATTTAATGTACCTTTGTATGCAATGATATGAAATATTGAATAATATTTGTTTTATGATATTAATTTCTTTGATTTATAATTTATTTTTATCCAAAATTTTTATAAACAGATATTACTTTACTGCTATTTGCTAACTGATATTGCTATCTTACTAGTTAGCTATCTTTCAAGTCATATAACTTTTGAAAGTAAGTTTGATCCTTTTGATCTTTTTGTTGGTTCAAAGGTTAGTGTATATATATTTGAAATAAAGCATCTATCAGTCAGCCGGCAACCGAAAAATGTACAACATTTGTATAAAAAGAACTGTTGGGATTAGGCCCTAATGCACAGAGTTAGAAGAGCAACAAAAATTCGCTATTTCATGTATAGAAGTGTTGGCTTCTCTGTTTACATAACAAAAGTTAGTATATGTTAGAGGATACAAAAAGCAGAAATCAACTTTAATTTTGTGTTGGTTGTAATTTTGAACTTGTAATTTTGATATGTTACTTTAACTGAAAAGATTGCTGATTGTGACATTCTGTAGCTTTACCAATAATCTTCTCTCTTCATTAAAATTATTGGCCTATAAAAAATGGTTGAGATTTCTGGCATTAGCCTCAGTTGGGTTCAGGCTTTCTTCACTCAACCAGTGGCACCACCTTTCTGAACTAATGTAACGGTCACATGCATGAGTGAGAGTCTGTGAACCTTCTCTGGGCTTAAAAAGGTGTGCTGCACTCATCAATACCTCATTGACAATGCACTTTTAGGCACTGGTGGCTGGCAATGACTTGCCGAGAATAGCAAAAGAGTAGGATCCTGAAATCTAAATACTTGGTGTCAGTTTGTTCCCTATTAATAATACATGCAAATTCATTTTTTTTCATAGTTGATTCTTGTTCACTATGTAACTGATAGATATGCATTCACTGGTATACAGTCTCAGAAGGAACTTTACAAGAAGCATCATAATACAGCAGATGGTCGTATCAGAGTATGGTTTGGATTGAGACAAATTATGAATGCAACTGATCAGTTATTGCTCAAAACAAGAGATGTGGCTGAGGAACTGAAGACAGGCATCCATATGGTATTCATTTACTTTCAGCTGTTTTCATTGTTTTAATCAAAAGTTTTGTTTATCTTCTGGTTCTGCAAAGGTTGTGAAGCTGTCTGTGAAGGAGATTGTTCCGATTTCAATGCAATCTCTAAAACATTTTGATTAATTTCTGTTGCATGTAGATCTTCTCCATGTATTCTGTATCCTATTTCTTTTATATTTAACTTAAGATTGCTTCATAACCTTCTCTTACACCCTTTTATGTGTGATATGGAAGAGGCTGGTTTATGTCTCAGGACTGAGTCTTTTCCTAGGAGTGCTGAATTGTGTTTGTTGACATCAGACATTGATCTTTTGGCATTTTTCAGAAATTGAAATTTTCTTCATTATTATGTAAACTCAGTGTCATTATGTGTACCATAATACAATTTTGCAGCAACTGGCGCTTGTAGTTTTGTTCATATTATCCCACAACTTCATTGCTATGGAAGGAATGATTGTATGTTCAGAGCATAGAACTTGAAGTCTTTTCCTTCACACTGAGATGGTCATTTTGTCTAGTAATTAAACCAGATACTTCATGCAGGACTATTCAGACTTTGATTGCAATGCCCGTGCAGTTATTTCCCTGGTTTCATCTTGGAAGTACTTAGAATGATAGATAAGTTACACTTAGTTATGTTAATAGTGAAATAGCTTCTGTTTCTTGATAGGATGGTAGGAGTGGCTTCTTTATTTGACACTCACTGACATTTTGTTTGGCCTCATTTAAGTATTATATTACTTTTAAGTTACACATTACATTTAATGAATGTGAGTAGCTCTTGATAATTAGCTACTTATGTCATTTTTATAAGGTCTTGAATTCTTGGATGTTTAGAAACCTTGAAGCTATGTAAAATTTGTCTTACACTGATACAGTGATATAGAGGTGTGGATTTTGTTTTGGGGGGCTAGCATACGTAGTTATAGAAGTTACAAAGTAATACAAATTTTTTCATCAAAAAAGAAGTTATTTTGATAACAGTAAAGAAGTAAAGAAGTTAACAAGAATATTTGATATGAAAATTAAATGAATTGTCATTTTAATTTTGTTAGCGGTGTGAGAAGAAGTACAGGAAGACCTAAAAGGACCTTAGTAGAAACTATAAATAAAAACTTAAGTATTCTAAACTTAACTAATCATGTGACTTTTTACAAATCTCAATAGCGGCAAAAGATCTATGTAGCCGACCCCAAATAATTGCGACTTAGGACTTTGTTGTTTGTCTGTATCATTTTGATTTTGTTAACCCTAATATGTTACTGAACATGTGATTCCAAACAATATGTCTAGAAAACCATTTATCTATTTATATACATCATCAAGATATAGCATCAAGAAAACAAAACTCCCCATGAAATAATCCACAAACTGTCACTCAATTATCCAGAATTCTTTTTAAATGCTTATTTAAATAATCTTTACCTCAGTGTGGTTCTTGGACAAGTAGTTGAACGGTATCCAATGACTATGCTTGTCTGATATGTCTGTTATGGGAATGACAAACATTTAGAGATACCTTGTTCTGTAGCCTGCAATGGTTTCTATGGATTGTTTGAAATAAAGCTGTGTAAGTCAATTATTAATTGTACCTTATATAGGAATTATTTTCTTTCAAATTCTGAATGCTATTATGCATTTTAATTTAAAGAGAATGCTATATGTTCCTATTTATTATGCATAATTGGCTATGCCATTATTGTGCTTAAAACATTTGTACCTTTTGCTTTTGTCATCAATATTGAGGATGAATTTCTTGGGTCGGATTAGAAAAGGTTCTATAGTTTGTAAAACTATGCTATGTTCATTACATATCCTACATTTTGTTGATATGCATTTTTAATTAATCTTGTAAAAATTCAATGTGTGGCAACATTTAGTTTGTAGAAACTAAAAAGTATTGTTGACTTATAGGGGATGGGCCATTCATGGCACCATTAATTGGATGATTAATGTAGGTCACACTTGATGTTATTATGGTAAAGGTGGATTCATCCAGTTGTCTTATTGTAATTTTATGAATGTATAGCATGTTGCAGAAATTCCTTATGAAAATCAGCTTGTGATGAACACCAGAAAAATTAATCATGGTACAGTAACATACTTGGAGAAAATTGGTCTTCTACGGAGCAACTTGTTGGCAGCTCATTCTGTTTGGATAAATGAAGAAGAGGTGAGCATATCGGTTCCTATAAATAACTACTAGCTTAGTGTCTACTTCTAGTTCATACATATATCGCAAGCTGCATGCTTTGCTGCATTTCTGATTTATGTACTAAAGTTTTCCTATCAATTAGCAATTTAACTATTCTGAGGTGAATGAACAATGTATGTCCAGAATCATGTTGTAGTTTCTACCATAACATGAGATTCACTATTATTAAATTACAAAGATGACACAAGAATTTTAATGGCAGATTGGTGGAAACCAGCTAGAAGATATATTGCATGCTGCATTTGGTACATCTTACAGTAAAGAAGTTAAAAAAAAGGTCTTGATAAGCAAGAGCAAATTCTGAACCCCTAAATAAAGCAAAATAATTTAACTGTCCTCAAAGTTCATGTGTACCTGGAGAAAATTGTTTATGTTTCTTCAAAATTAATTGAATTATTTTTGCAATGATGTATTGGTGTCTCTTTCCTGGTTCGTTTTAACAATTGTGAAATCCACAGACAATTATGTGCCTTTATAAAGTTCATGGTTCATATGATTGAGGTAGGTGTGGAGATTGACACCGTCTGGATTGGTTAGATCAAATTTATTGAGATTGAGAGAGAAAATAATTTAAAAACAAAATAAAATGTGGATAAATAAAATTTGATTTGACAAATTACAAATATATTGTTAAAAGTTACACGATTATTTTCCTTCACATTCTATAAGATATTGAAAATTTAAAAGGAACTGATATCAAAGATAATAATGAGAAACAATGGAGAAAATATATTAAAAGATAGCTAAGCATATTAATTGTATCGTACAAAGATATTATTGTCGCGATGTTCCCTTTTTTGGTCTCAATGTTTCTCTAGATCACTATGTGAGTGGAATTTGGGTGATGCAAAGACAGAAATATGCTTTATTTGAAGAGTGTCTGTGGGGTTTCATTATAATACTTGAGTTTCATGATATCTTCTATATAATGTCAATTCTATTCACTAAGAGGTTAATGGTTACTCTATATCTTTCCCTTTCCTTTTCCTCAACCTTTTCCTCTGTCTTGCATAACATTGGATGATGAACATTACAGCAATAGTCACAATCGACAATCTGGTAAATCCAGTGGTAGCAGCATGCCTTCTCCTCTATTTCAGTCATAATACAGTCTTTTGGCCTTTCTTCTGCTTCCCTTTTATTCTCCTTCCCCTCCTATGGGTGCAGTCTGTGGTAACTGTTGGCCTTCTGCTCTTTCCTCCTCTTCTTCTCCTGCATTGGAGGCTGTTAGATTGGCTATTGCAAGCTAAAACTGGGCAACTCCTTTCAAATTCGATCGATTTTGGGTTAATTTTGATGGATTTCTAGTGAGAAGTTGGCAATATGGTTAATATGTTTTCCTCAATATAAAAGTCTTTAGCGTTATATATGGCTTGTCAGAACTTTATTGAAAAACTTAGAATGTTAGGTGGATGAGGTGGCACTGCTATAGAAAGAAAATGGGATGACTACTTATCATTCCTACCAATTGCATATATCCTACTATGATGTACCTTTTCAGTGGACCCTTTTTATGCAGAAGGCTTGTCCATGCAGAAACAAGAAGGGTCAGCAAGCAGTTTCAGGAAACCAGTTTAAGTGGTTGGCCTGGTTCGTCAAGTAGTGGAGGTATTTCAGCCAGTACCTTGTAAAAGGTATCAGACTGAATAAAAATAAGTGAACAGAAGGGTCTGGCAGGGGTTTGTGGATGGATGCTTTTGTAGATCATAATTTTGTTTTATCTTATAGCTTATGTAAGGACTGCAAGCAAATAACTGAGAAGTTTGCTAGTTTCTTTTACAGATCGAATTCTTCTCTAAGGCTGGTGTGAAGGTTTCTCACTGCCCTGCTGCTGCAATGCGCATGCTTGGGTTTGCTCCTGTAAAAGAAATGCTTGAAGCTGGTATTTGTGTATCTCTTGGTACAGATGGGGCACCATCCAACAATAGGATGAGCATTGGTACAGTTTGAAATCCTTATCTGTGAGACAAGAAGAATATTGGTTCAGATCAGTTTGAAAATGTTTTTTCCATAATGGTTTTAACTGGATGACCCAATTTTCATTTCCTTGACAGAAGGTCAGACAAGAGACTGGTGATCATACAATTTTAATGAGATCTTGATATAGCTATTAAAATGTTTCCAAGTGTTTGTTTGACAAAAGCATCTAGACTAATTTTGATGTGTCATTTAACATTTCTTAGCTGTTTGATCATTTCCCATAGTTATGCTTTTCTTAAAGTTAGCTCATGACTCCTTTAGTTCGTGATTCTTGTTAAATACTAAATAGCATTCACCTACTCTTTTATGATACATATGTTCAAAACTTCATAATTTAATATTGGGAGTTCTCGGGTATATTTATGCATGGAGTTTCATAAAGAGTACCAGGCCAGAGCCATTGTGGGCTACCTAGATTTATCAGAAAGTTGGTCAGATCCCCATAGATCTGGCCTAGATTTACGCAGGTCTAGGTCGGATCCATGGGATCTAGTATAGATCCACATATATTTAGGCTGGATATATGTGTATCTAGAACAGATTCCTACAGATTTAGGCCATATCAAGATGGATCTAGATTGGATTTTCATAAATCTATCTAGATCTATGCTGATCTTGGTCAGATCCAGATGGATCTATCACAGATCCATGCAGTTCCAATCAAGATCCATGTGGATTAGCCAAGATTTGCCTAGATTTATGCTGTATTCAGTGGAAAATTACCTAGGTTCAAATATATCTATGCTAGATATGTGCAGATGTGGTGCCAATTAAAAATCAGATATTTTTAAATTGATAATTAAATGGTGACATGAAAACGAGCAATAAAACTTAAAATGATCATGAAACAAGCAAACATTTAAATCAATCACTAAATCATGAAATGTAGCTTCATACTCTGATTCGCAAATGTATGCATCCTTCGCTTGACATCTGAAGATTGATTGGATATGATTGAATATAAAAGTGAGAAATGTAAAAGAAAGCTGTTGAGTGCTGTTTAAGGTATAAACGGATAAGAGAGGACAGGGGTTGATTTGGAAAAAAGAGTGTGATATGCATACCATCCAATCTGGGTGTAATACAATACCCATAGTGGGTATATTGGATGTGTCGATGGTTAGGTAAGTTTATTGGGTGGTATGAATTGGTATCCCCTAGTAGACACTAGTCCACATAATGGTAAACAACTGAACTAATAAATACTGATTGTTATGTGCCAGTCTGACCAGCTTTCAGAATCCATGGTGTGAAGTATGTTGTGCCGTTGTGAATTATGGCAATGTGTAATTTCCCTCATCTTAATTTCAGTGCTGTATATGTATTTCAAGGATTAAGAACATACAGATCCTTGTTACCCAAATCATATCTCAACAGTTATAAGCACAATTTTCTAGTAAGCTATGCAATACTTAAATGATTATATTATATACTGCATCATTAAGTACAAATATATTCAAATTGCTCGCAATATCCTCACTGTATTTATCAGAAGATTTACCATATTGGCCTATTCAAGTTATATTGAATCCATATACCTGTCTGGTTTGATGCTTTACAGTGAAGTGTCAACATTCTGATAATCAGGAGGTTTATTATGTTTTCTGAAACTGTATCCTCTGGGTGTATTTGGATGTAATACTTCTTTCTTCTCCATACAGTTGATGAGATGTATCTAGCTTCACTTATAAATAAAGGTCGAGAAGCTTATATGAATGGGCAAACCAACCCAACTGCTCTACCTGCTGTAGCAATTTTAGAGATGGTCACAATAAATGGTGCAAAATCAGTGCTATGGGACAATGAGATTGGGTCTCTTGAGGTTGGCAAAAAGGTTAGATCAGTTACATTTTGTCATTTTCCTCATTAGTAATTGCTATATAATTCTGCATAATTATGCAGTTGACTCATATTCACCTTTTATTTCAAAATATTAGCGATGCTAATTTACTGCACAAAGAGGTTTCTAGATGCTGATTTATTGCGAAATGGGGTTTTCTAGATGCTCATTTATTGCACAAAGATCGATGTTTTGGCAATAGAATAATTTAGATCCATAACTATGGGTTGCCATTACCATCTCAGCCAATCAGCAAATGTAATTCTTTCTGCCCTCGCAAATTATCCCTTTGAACAAGTTCTTTTACCAAGCTTTTTGTTCATCCTTGTACCTTGGAGGGCTCGGAAAGAAGCTTGTGCTTTAAGAGAATATTCATGTTCATGGTTATGCTGCACCTCAACTCTCCAATCTATTTTGGCATGCTGAAATGTTCCATAGTTGCAAGTTGAATCTCTAGTATATTTTTATTAGATGGCTGTTCTCTATTGGAAATTCATATGATCAGGAATAGACAAGTTCAGATTGCTGAATTGTTAAAAAATCTTCATTGATAACATTATTTTTTTCACTACCAACATCATTTTTGTTTTATTCTAGAATGCTTTGCTCGTGACTGTATTTTCTTATTTCTGATCATAAAAATTTCTTGTCTATGTTTTATCATTTTGCAGGCTGATATGATAGTTGTGAATCCTTTTTCATGGACCATGGTTCCTTTGCATGATCGGTACATATTTGATTCATATGATTTCGTAGAAGAATATCTCTTTTCTTTTTCTTATCAATATGGTGCTATTACTGGTTTCAATTGCATCTAGCAGAAGAATAGCTGCAATTCACAAGTTTTTTTGAAAAGATTTCTATAACCTGAGAATTTATTTTTATTTCTTTTAGGAAGCTGAAATATTTCTGTCTGCAAGTCCAGACTGACACACTGAACTGACTTGGATGAATGCTCTTAGAATTACTTGGGAAGTAGTAGGAGTTAAATACGTCATGCTAACTGAAAAGAGAAACACCATCAACTAAATTATTTAAATTGAACTCTAAGAGTTAGTCAAACCAGATCCCCAAACCCATCAATTTATTCAGTATGTTTTAGAGCACTTGTCTTTCCTTGATCTACTTGATAGCAATTGGTGAAGATCTCCTGCATGGTTATTGTATTGTCATGCTTTGAGGTTTTCATGTTCTGTTAGACTGAAGCCAATGCCAAGGTCAAAATTCAGGACTGGCTTGGGTTTCTCATTATTGGTGGAAGCTATATATTCTCCCTCTGGTTCACACTGTTGTTGTAGCTGATACCTATTGGTTCTAGTTGGTTCAATCCAATTCTAGGCATTATTTATACTTTATTAGCATTGTTGATTGTAGCCTATTTGGTATATGAGGGAATGTCATGGGTCAATATCACTGACATTCAGTACTGTTCTCCTACATAATGAGCTGAAGAATCTCCCAATGCCCTGGGGTCGGGCTGAGACTGGTCATCTTAAATAGTACTCCTGCTTAGCTCAGAAACACCATCAGCTGCACCACTGTCACCATCTAGCCTCATGTGGGAACTCATGCTGAAGGGTCAACAAAAGTGTTACTGCACCGCTTACTGCCACTGCCATTTCCATCACCATGCTTATATTGAGATGGATCAAAGATGTCTAATATTCTCCTTGTGCATATGATAGTGCCCCATAACGCACAAATATTAACAAGTTTGGATCATCATGATTACTGGCTACTCTAATCTGTTAGAGATATTATATGTGAAGCTTGGATGCCTACTTGTCAAGCTCTTCCCTGTAGGGTTTTCTTGAAGTCTAATTGTGCCTAAAAGTTTGCCTGAATTCTTGAGGGACCTTGATGTATACGACCACATCAGGAAATGCACCAGTTAAATGATGCTTTATTGCCACCAGCATAGTTGCAGTAGATGCACTACCGATAATGATGATGCTCCAGTGATATATGTGCTGCCATGTGACATTGTCAATTTGTTGCTTTGGTGCCATTCATGTCCAGTATGATTATGTATAAACAAATTTAGCATAGAAGAAAAGAATTAAGTGGAGATTGAAAGGATAGTTACGAATCTAGAATAGATATATGCAGATCTGATAGATTGGTCTCAGTTACGCATGGATTGGTCCATCCAAATTTCTTGTTGAACTAGGCGAATCCAGCCAAGATCTTTGTGCATCTGTGTGGGTCTTTGTGTGTCCTTGGGAACCTTGGCTAGATCAGCATGGATTCGACCAGGATTCAAACAACACCCAAAGGACTCTCAAGTACTTAACCTATGTAAAGGACCAATCAGAAGTTTGTCAAAACTTTGTTCTCATGTTATCTTGAATGCAATAGGTACACTGAAAATTTGAGAACCATCTTTGCTAAACTTCAAAATATGAATTAAACTTTGTATTAATGAAATGAACCTCAAATTTGTAAGTAGATAAACAATGTCAAAAGTTAAACTTAGGACCAAGGATTTGAATATTGGAGGGACTGGTGTGTACCAACCAGGATTTATAGTTTTGATGTAATATTAATTTCAAAACATATTGCTTGATATTGTGCAATACCATTTTCTTAATAGTTTTGTTCAATGATATCAGGTGGTACAAGTCTGATAAGTTACCAAAAGTGTATCTGACCTAGATTTAATTCCTTGCCTATGACCTTACCACTACATAAAACACTTATCTACGTAAATAGAAAGGCTTTATACATTTTCATGTACACTTTGGTTTACAAAATGTGTAAATTGGCCTGTTTGGTGATGATTTCTTTTGTAGCTCTACATGAACAGAACCTTGCTAATATTTTTGAATTCCAACATGCAGCATCTCTAGCCTCGTCTACTGCATGCGAACAGAGAATATTGATTCAGTCATGTGCAATGGTCAGTGGATTATGAAGGATCATAAGATCTTGAATGTAAATGAGGTACTTTGTCATCCTCTTATGTGCAAAATCCACCTAGTAATGAATACAAAACTTACATAGTTGTGCATGCTTCTTATATAGATATATTTGTCAAACTATGTTGTTTATTTGGTGGAGACTGTAATATAACTGATATAGTTCAAGTCATAATATGTATTGAAAATTGTATGGCTAACAATAAGCATGAGCTTAATTATGTTCCAAGGTCAAACTTCATGTATAACAAATGTTTATCATTTACATGGTGTTTATTGTAATAACAATAATCTTTATTTTTGGGGGGGAGGGGTTGGCTACCTGCTAATGTCATATTCATTACTGTTGACCCATTTTTAATTTATAAGTTCCACAAGTAACAAGTTTTCTTTGACAATCTCATCGATTGCAATACTAATTTCAGTACTCATGCTGAAATATGGAAGTATAGCTTGCTTGAAAATGTATCTGATAACAGCATGTATGAAAACAAAAAAGGTTTTAGTGCAGAGCTGCAACGTCATAGTGCAAATTACTTGCATGTAATTTAGCAAGAGCAACTTTTGTCAATTAAATTATAATTTCTAAGAGTCATTGATGCATCTTCCTATTCTGCTGATGTATTCTAACCGTATAAGATTGTAATGCTAAGTGTCATTAAATCTTATTATCTATAAACTTAACATTTTGATTATGTGACCAATGCTTCACACATCATCATTAGGTTCGTCTTTGGTGTCTCCCAGCAAATTTTGCTTTAGTTTATTGCTCACTGTAACCTTTTCTAGGACTTTGTATTAATATGGTAATGCATTTTGCCTTGTTTTCTGACATTTGTTATGTCTTGGCTAATTGACTATCATATTCCTGACAACTAATAATGTACGTGTTAAGATTCACAAGTATAAAGATGCAAACTTGTAGCTGGGGCCTGTGTTTTATTATTATAAATTCCATTACGTAATATATTTTATTATCAATTCCATTACGTAACAGAGGAAATCAGGTGTCCAACTTGTTTTTATTATTATTATTGATAAATAGGTTCTTCATTGCGTAATATATTCCATTTAAGTTGTGTTTTATTATAACTGGGCCTGCCAGTTTATCTATGTAGCCTCTTGATTTGATTTGATTTAACATAGTGTGATGATGCCCTTTCTTCCATGAACAGGAAGAAGTAACATCGCTAGCAATGCAAGCTTCAGATGATCTTCTGAGGAGAGCGGGAATCTATCTTCCAAAAAGAATGAATTATCTGTAAATATAAATTCATGAATGTTTATAATGTTCTAGTATATATAAAAATATGTAATATACATATGTGTCCGTGATAAATAAATGCTGTTTGGGTTGAGATAATAATGACAGTTATTCTGCAGACTTATTTGCGTGCTGATCTCCGACATACCAATGTCCGGTTCATCACTATGGCAAATTAGAGAAATTATCGCTTCTCTTGTGGCACAGTCGAGACAATATAAACCAACTCTGGGACTACGAACTGCTGATCAATGTGTACTGCTCGTGTTCTAGAGTTGAAACCAACACCCCACCACCAAAGGGTTCTATGGGGCTCCATTAGAGGGAAAGACGTGCCATGCCTGCAAAGCCTCACTTGGGGCAGAGGATGTCATAGCGACAGGAATGATCCGCCGCGGCGTCGCTTATAAACGAGGTTAGTACGAAGGACTAGAATCTCAACATTTAAAGAATTTTACTATTTGAATTAATGCTATAGTAAAAATTAAATCGATTTGAAACTTTCGGCTTGATAAAAATTTATCGAAAAAGATGTTGAAAGTGTATAAGAGTGATAAGAAATTAAGGCAGAAAATAATAGTAACGAAGAGTAATAAGAAAGTGCATACTAATTTTATAATGGTTCGGTCGTTGTGACCTATGTCCACTCTTGATTCCTTTTCTGTTGAGACTAATGACATCCATTACTGATTTTTCATCAACGGGTAAACACCAACTATCCTCTTACAACTCTTTCTCCTTTTTATAAATTTAGGAGATAACATTTTACAAGCCTCACATCTCTCTTAGATTGATCACAAAGTTAAAGAAGGAGAAGGACACTTAGCACTTTTTCAACACTTTTATAACAAAAATCTCAAGACTTTTGTTGACACTTCTTTTGCTTTTTCATACAGAAAAAAGTGGGGTATTTATAGGCCTTAATAGCTTTAAAAATGGAGCTAAAATGTGTCTTATCTCGGATTTCTAAGGTACTAGTAGTACCACCGCCAGTATTAGGTGGTACTATCCCCTACAGATAGACACCAAGCGGTACCATCACCCAATCTGGACGGTATGACCGCTTGACAAAGCCTCGGAGATCGGGATCTGACGGTATCATCGCCTAATAGGGTGGTACCATCGATTGGCAGCATTAACTACCGGCGGTACCACCACCCAGTCTGGGTAGTACCATCGCCCAGACCATATGGGAGGCTGAGCCTTAAGTGATTCCACCGTTTGACGTGGCTCCAAGTGGCTGAATGAGCCATCCAACCAATTTAATTCAGCCCTGTTTAGGACTTAATTAGCCCTCAATTGAGTTAGTAGGATTTCTCCTAAAACTAACTTAAATTAAGGTCCTAACTATGATAGTTAAGGCTAAAACAATTATGATACAAGGAATCTAAGTTGTCTAGTACGTCAATTGTTCAATCGAACTCTCGGTGAACTTCTTCTGACGAACTCTCGACGATCTTTTGACGAACTCCCGACGAACTTTCGGCAAGCTTTCGGTGAACTCCTGGTAAACTTCCAATGAGCTTTCACTACATCATTCGATCCTTCGGTGTATCACCCGATTCATCCGGCCCAATGCCCGATCATTGACTCCGGCCTAACATTGGATTCTTCTTTAATCGTTTTGCCTATCTCATGATTGTAATTAGTCCTGCATCACTTATCTTAACACATGGATTATATTATTAATTCATCAATTGATTTCATCATCAAAATCTGAGATTTAGCTATCTGTCCATTTTTTATGATGACAACCAATTGACGACGGAGTTAACCTTAACTCCCTCTATCTATATGTCATATCGAGATAAGGCAAACTTGATTTCAAAAGGAATCATAACATTTGAATTCAAGTGAAACAATTTCAATCAATGCAATATATCAAAATTTCATATTGTACATCATCATAGTTCCAAGTCATTAAAGTATAACATGCACAATTTCATCACTTCATAATAAATTAACGTTACTTTGGGCATAACCTATATGATACTAAAGCATCTAATTTGATACCAAAATTAATATAATTTTGGATATAACTAATATTCATGATACGAAAACATTCATATTTTCAATCATTTTGGGCATAACATGATATCAAAGAATTCATATTTTCAATCATTTTGAGCATCACATACATAGTACTAAAGCATTTTTTAACCATTTATCACTTCATAATGATACCAAATACAATATTATGATTCCAAACATTCATCATTTCTTCCCCTTTGTTATCAACAAAAAGGAGAATCATTCAATAATTTATATAAGTATTTTAAACTATACAAGTAAGTTTTACACCCATTTATGCAAACTAGTAAGTTTGTAAAATGAGAAGTTAAGAAAACACTTTGCAAGATAACCACTTTAGATGTTAAGCAAATTTGTGAAATGAGGAAGCTAGCACTTCTCTTTCGATATGCAAGTACTTTTTTGTTCTTCGTGAGATGTGCAAGCTAGCATTTTTTTACTTTTCTTAAGATATTAGCAAGTTTCTTTCTTCCTTTTGTCATAAAAATAAGAAGAGGAAGAAGAAAAAGTGAGGAATTTATTCATCATAAGAAAAATCAAGTTATAAGAACCAAAAGTCCATGAATCAAGCTTCCATCAATCAAGCTTCTACTAAACCAGAGAGAAAGATTCATCACATAAAAGATCAAAATGTGTATACTAAAAATTTTTGAATCAAATCCCTATTCTTGTAAATAGAAGGAAGAAGGATTCATAGAAAATAATCATAGCATAAAAGATCAAGTTCAAAAGTCCATGAATAAAAAAAAAACTCTTCTTTCGTGAGTAGAGAGAGGAAGAATTCATAGGAAAAGATCATCAAATGAAGGATAAAAATTTCATGAATAAAACTTTAAGAGGGTGATAGGAAATGATCTCGATAAAATGAAAATTCAATTTCGAAAAAAGTATTGAGAGATTCAAAAAATATATTAAAGGAACTCATGCATTTAAAAGATTTAATATACCTAAGTCTCTTCTAATAAAATTAAATTGTTCCTCATTTAAAAGTTTTGTAAAATTATCAACTAATTGATGTTTTATATCAATAAATTCTAAAGATATATCATGGTTATTAATATTATCTCTAATAAAATGATGCATAATGTTAATATGTTTAGTTCTAGAGTGTTGAATGAGATTTTTTGTTAAATATATTGTACTAGTGTTATCACATTTTATAGGGATATTTTTCAAGTGAATTCTATAATCTTCTAATGTGTTTGTCATCCATATAACTTGTGCATAGCATGCACCTGCTGCTATACTTAGCTTCGGCTGTAGATAATATAATCGAATTTTATTTCTTAAAAGACTAAGAGACAAGTGCATAACCTAAGAGTTGACATGTTCCTGATGTGCTTTTTCTATCTACTCTACATCTAGCAAAATCTGCATGAGTATAAGCAATTAATTCAAAGTTTTTAAATTTTGGATACCATAATCCTAGATTAGATGTTCCTTTTAAGTATCTAAAAATCCTCTTAATAGCTTTTAGGTGAGATTGTTTAGGATTAGATTAAAATTTATCACATAATCCAATACTAAACATAATATCTGGTCTAGTTGCGATGAGATATAGTAAACTACCTATCATACCCCTATAAGTCTTTTGATCAAAATTTTCTCTATCATCGTTCATATCTAACTTTGTGGAAGTGATGATTGTTGTGTTAATAGCCTTAAAACTATCCATATTGAACTGGTTTAATAGTTCTAAAGCATATTTAGTTTGACTCATAAAAATTCTATCACTTAGTTACTTAATTTGTAATCCTAAGAAAAAAGTTAATTCGTACATTAAGCTCATTTCTAATTCTTGGCTCATACTTTTGGTAAAATATTCACATAAAGACTTATTCATAGAACAAAAAACAATATCATCAACATAAATTTGAACTATAAGAAAATCATTTTTAAAATATTTAATAAACAACATGGTATCAACCTTGCCTTTCAAAAAATTATTCTTAAATAGAAAGGAACTAAGTCTCTTATACCAAACCCTTGGGGCTTGTTTCAAATCATAGAGAGCATTAGAAAGCTTAAAAACATGATTAAAAAAAATTATATTATCAAATCTAGGTGGTTGTTCAATATAAACTTCTTCGGAAATGAAGCCATTAAGAAAAGCACTTTTAACATCCATTTGAAATAACTTAAAATTATTATAATTAGCATAGGCAAGGAGAATCCTTATGGCTTCAAGTCTAGCCACAAGAGCGAAGGTTTCTTCATAATCGATACATTCTTCTTGGTTGAAACCTTTGGCCACTAATCTAGTCTTGTTTTTAACCATGATACCAAGTTCATCTTGTTTGTTTCTAAAGACTCATTTAGTACCAATTACTAAATGGTTACTAGGTCTAGGAACAAGTTTTCACACATCATTTCTCTCAAATTGGTTTAACTCCTCTTGCATTGCAATAACCCATGAATAATCTTTTAGGGCTTCGTCAATATATTTTGATTCAATTTAAGATAAAAAGGCTGCATTCATACAAAATTTTTAAAAGAAGAATAAATTTAAATACCTTTTGATTGTCTCCAATTATTAGCTCCTTAGAACAAGCATATGCATTACTTCCAATCCTTAGATAAGGATTCTTTGGAAGAAGATGCATCCAAGTTGCTTAGGGGAGGAGAGTTTTCGTTCAAATTTAAAGCATCAAAATTAAAGTCATTATCAAAATTATTTTTCTTAAATTTAGGAAGCTCATTAAGAAAAACATGAATAGATTCCTATATAACCAAAGTTATTTTATTAAATATACGAAAAGTTTTGGACAAAGAGGAGTAACTAAGAAAAATGTCTTCATCGGATTTTGCATCAAATTTTTCTAAGGTATCTTTTTTATTTAAAATAAAATATTTACAACCAAAAACTTTAAAATATGAAATATTGGATCTTTTATTGTTCCACAATTCATAGGGAGTTTTGGAAAGTAATGGTTTTACAAGAAACATGTTCATGACATAACATATCGTGTTAATGGCTTCGGCCCAAAAATATTTGGGTAGACTATATTCATTAATAATGGTTCTTGTTATTTCTTATAAACTCCTATTTTTTTCTCTCAACAACTTCATTTTGTTGAGAGTTTCTTA